TTTTTTTGGGTTTGGCTGCTTTGGCAACCGCACCTCTCCTTCTCCCTTTAAAAGAGAGGAAATTAGGGTTTTGTTAAATTTGAGTTTTGATGGGCTGCTCAATATTGGGCTGAGCTTATGGTTTATTTTAGTAAATTTCATTCTCAGTTTTTTAATTTTTTCAATTTAGTCCTTTTCTTGTTTTTTTTAAACTTCTCCCCAAATTTTTCATAAAATTTTTTTATAACGATAAATCCAAAATGGTACGCGAAAAATTTTGATATCCGATACATACTGTTCCAGTAACAAAATCGATACGCATGTCGGTACGATATTAACTACTTTGATTAAACCGATGAGCCGGATTACTGTACTGATGTTGACAGGGCATATTCCGTGACATTGAAAACTCCCCTTGCAAGCATCCAAGTGTTCTTGCGAATCACCATTGTGGCCAAATAGCCTGGACTCCCATTAGAAACGTGTGGCATATAGAAATGGTTTAAGTACCATTTTGATCCCTCAATTTTTTATTTTGATATTAAAATTGTCTCTTAACTTTAAAAAATATTAAATTTATCCTTAAACTTTCATTTTTAATACCAAAACGATCCTTATGTAAGTTAAATGACAGATTTTCAATAGCAAAACAATCCTTATGTAAGTTAAACGACAGATGACACGTTAGTTTACCAGCAAATCTTTTTTTTTTTCTTAACTAATGACATGAAAAAAAATATAGTTGACAATCTTTTTTATGAATTAACATTTTTATTTAATTTAAAAATAATAATTTCTTTTTTTTTACCCACGTCAGATTTCTTCTTCCTCTTTTATTTTCTCTCTCCTTTACCTTTCTTTTTCCCTTACCTCTACAAACCCATATCTAAGTTCTCTCTCTCAAACTTCATCTTCTTCCTCCTGTTCTCCTCGGTGCTCATCCTTCTTCTTTCTTCTTCTTATTCTTTCTCTCACTCTTCTCCCTTCTTCTTCCTCTCTCAAACCCAGATCTGGGTTTTTCTCAAACCCAGATCTGGGTTTCAAGACATAAATTAACATCCAAAGAAGTTGGTGATAATAAGAAAAGCAATACAAATCATTCCATTCTATTAAATATAAGCGACAAAGCCATTTTCCAACCTCACCTATGGT